AAAACTAAAACATGCGTTTCAAATTTGATTTAGGAGCTGAAAATATTCGCAACTAGATTTTAATTTTTGCAAAAAAAAAAGATATTTCCATTATAATTAAATTTTTTATATATAATTAAAATATTTCAGCGTATTATGTCGTAATTATTGTCGTAATTATAAAGATTAAATAAATCAAAACTCTAAGAACCACATTAATGTACTTATATAAAATTTTTTTTTAATTCATCCGGTTCATGTATTTTTTAACCATATGTTGATTTAAAAGGATTTTTATTTTATTTTTACAATTTCATTTTCTATAAGGAAACTTATTTCACTTTAAGAACAAAAAGCCTATTAAAAGAACAAAAACAAGCAATATAACAACCAAAAAATAAATTCTAAAGGAGGCGTCTGTTATGCTCACGAGAACGTGAAGAAGGCGTTGAATATTCAGCATCATAAATTAAAACCAATTATCAAATTAGAGTTTAAAAAAAAACTATTTACGAGATTTTAAATTTTGTTTTTTCTTTTCTATATAATTTTGATATTATTACTTTTCGAATATTTTAAAAATAGGTGACGTGTTAAAAGGAAATTAGGCGCATAAATTTAATTTAGTCATACATTAAAGTTATACAGTATTTCAATATAAAATTAAAAATATATTAATAAGTAAATAAAATTGCAATAAAATAAAAAAATTATAATTAATTTTTTGGTATTTTAGAATGTCAACTGTAATAATACACTGTTATAATTTTTATAAACATGGGTTTATTTTTGAATCGTATAGCAGATTGTTGCGAAAAAATAAAATGTACCAAAAAATGTAAATGCTAAATTTTGAAATAAATAAAAAATAAAATCAAATATTTTATGTTTTAATTTGCTATATTATTTACGTTATTGACTAGAAGGAACAGAATATTATAAAATAGTACATACACCTAGCGAAATAATTAAATGAGCCTTTTTCTATCCATTTCAAGGGTTCATTTTAGAAGTCAACTTCATATTTTCGATACTAATAACTCTTATGTTTTTCATTACGTAACTGAAATTTTAATGTTTTAAGAAATAAATCATATTAGACTAATGGTAGCACAATTAATCGAAGTGGTCAAATACTCTTTGCATAATAATTGGAATAATATTAAATAGAATTGCAATTTATATAGAAAATTTAATCAACAATAACAAAATAAACAGAAATTGAAGTTTGGTTGAATCAATTTAAGGTTAGAAGAAAAATTATAAAGAGAATTCACGTTACATGTGCATTTTTAATTCTTCAAATTACTTGTATCTTCTTACTATACACAATCGTAATGAAAATATACAGTAGAATCACAGTTATGTTGAATTACAGTACACTATGTTGTATTAACAAACAAACCTTTTATTTAAACACAATGCACATAATATGAGGAAAAAATATTAATATAATGCCTTTATCTGTTATATTAACAAATTATTAATTATTCGAATCCTTATTCTCTGAAGTACTTCTGCTTTTCGTTGGTTCATATAAATCATAACCTTCTGTATATACTAGTAATACTGTGCTTTGGACTTATAATTTATTTGTTTATTTATTATTTACTTTCATATATCCTTATTATCTCTTGCATAACAATCAATTCAATTTCGTTAAAAAAACAAATCATTAAAAAGTTATAAATTGCTACAACGTCTTAAGTATATCCTTTTAATTTTTAAAATTTATGTTAAATTTTAAGGATACATTTATCATTATTTTCTGTTGCACTTTTACTCTACATGGTAATTTTATAATATTCGTTTAAAAATTTATAAATACGTGCGCGTAAATGTTATTTGATATCTTAAAGACGACCAAAATCTGCATTCCAGTCAATAAGTATCCTTTTTTTTTTCATTTTTTTATTTTTATAATTTATACTCAAATATTCAAATTTTTGAATACGAATTATTGTTTTTTGTTTCAGCCCAATTTTTTTTTTCTGTTTTTGGTTTTTATTTACGTCCTCTGATTAATTGGTCTTCATCTTAATTTAAAAGAAAAAAAAAACCACCAAAAAAATCATATAACATACCGTAATGCTATATATAGAAAAGGTGTGAATGATGAGTCTCTTTTAATAATTTTAAGAGATCTATAGTACACGCTATGCAATATTGTACAGTGTATAACAGATATATTAAGTATAAATAGTATATTTTACAAATAAAAACAAAATATAACTTTTTGTACATCATCTGGCAATTTCCAATTTTAATCATTATGTCTAAATTTTCATAAAAAATATGTGAATATAAAATAAAAATATTAAGAGCAAAAAAAACAGAGAAAAGGAACGAATAATAATTAACGAATGTTCTTATAATATGCTGAATGTAATACAAAAAGTTTAAAATTGTTCTATTAAAAAATAAAATAAGAAAATATTAATAACAAGAGATGTTTTTCTTCTTTTTTTTTTCATTAGTTCACGTTCATATAAGTTCCCTCTGAAAAATAGTGTCTTCCCTCTATACTATATAGTGTATGTATTAAATTGTACGATGATTTATAACGGCGACATATTAATAATTTTGACACTGTTTTGGATCATTAAAAAGGAATTATTAATACAATATTTTTTTTTATTTTGGGTTTGTTTGTCTTATAGTTAAATAGTTTTGGTTTTATGTTTTGACTTGTGATCTCTTAATTAGAACAAAATATTTCTTATATAATACTTAAAAAAAAAAAATAAAACAAAATTAAATGAAGAAAGGAAGAAGAAATTAGTTTAAACTTTTTATTGACATTGTTAAGGCAAACAAAAAAAAAATAATTGGAAATTTTTTTTAAATAAATTTGGAAAATTTGGAAATATGGAAAATTTCTTAAAATACTTCTGCTTCAAAGTTTTATTGGAATTTATTATTTAAGTTATTTATAGAACAAATATTAAATAATTATATAGAATTTTTAATAAATTATCAAAAAAATTGATTAAGAGGTGAATTTTATGATATTTCTTAAGATTTTAAAATACAATGGTTGTTTTTCTTTATAATTTTTTAAATAAACTTTTATTATATATTATAATTTTTCAAATACTTTTCTGTTTATATACATATATTTCATTTCATACATACATATATTTCAATTTTATTAATGAAAATGATTTATTGAACTATAACTAATAGCATAGCTAAGTATAGTATCGAAATGTTTTTTATACAACGAAATCAATAAATTGTTCTGAAATTGCATTCTATATAAGCGTATAACAAATTATAATATTGAATAGCCCCTGATTCATTTTAATAAAATAAACTGACGAATATTGCACATTTAAATTTAAAATGTTTCGAAAAACTTCTAATATCTTCTTCTAATATTATAGATTATTTTAATATATGTATAAATATAAAATAAACGGTGTATTATACCTTCAAATCTCGTACTTGAATATTATACCTTCGAATCTCGTATTTAAAGAGTGTTTAATGTTAGAAGATTATAATTAGTTATAAGATTGAATAACTATTCCCTCTTCCAAGGAAAAAGAATTCATCAAAGAAAACTTCAAAAACATTTTGATTTAGTAATTATTGTTAAAATTTTTGGATTATATTTTTAGGTACATTTGCCTTGAAATTTTATTTCAAATATGTTTAAATTTTATGCTGTTTTTATCGAAATAGTTATGTACTAAAAAGAAAAACTTTATGTGCCCATAAAACTTTAATAATCAATATGGTATATTATTATGTACATTTATTGTAATGTATTTCTTTATTATATACATACATATATTATCTATTTTCTATATTATACTATATTTAGTTTTTAAGCTATCATTACTTATTTTGTGTTAAAATTCATTATCAACATATTAATATTTCTAAATTTTTGTCTTTTATAAGGAATACATTTTTTCAAAAGGCTGTTTGAAGGTACCTACTTGTTTGTACTCTTATTTGTGTAGGCATCATTAATGCTGCGAATCTGTATTTAAATATTTTTGTATTTAAAAAAGATTTTTCACTTTATCCCGAAACATATGCAATTTTAATAAAACTTAAATTTTTATGAATGTAATCCTAAATATATGCAAACAACATTGGATAACACGTTTAGAATTAATGAAATTTTTAAAGAAAATTTTAATAAATATTTTTCTTTAATTAAAAGAGCTTGAATATAAGAGCCTTGTGTCTTTACTATTTAAAATAAAGTGAATTTGATAAGTTGTATGAAATAATTTTAACATTTAGTATTATAATAAAACTGTGAAATATTTTAAATAAATGCTATATGTTACATGTAAGGAATAAAGTACTGTAATTATTTAAGGAATTAAATGAGTACTGTAATTTATTGCTATTTGACAAAACTGTTTGCATCATTTTGCGGAAAATAAAACAAAATTAAAATAATATTAAAACTTAATCCATTCTTATTCATCAAATATATTAAGGGGCACAGCTTAGATGGGCAGGAGACGTATGTCGAATGCCCGAGCATCGAGCGCAGAAAAGAATTCTAAACGCAAGATCATACAACACAAGGGCAAGAGCCAGGCCTAGATCTAGATAGCTCGATGGTATAGAGAACCCAATTCTTCTACCTATTGTAGAAGAATTGGGTCCGTGACTGGAGGGCAGCTGCCCAGAACCGTAAAGTTTGGCGGGAAATTGTGAACAAGGTCAAGGCTCACCCTGAGCTGTAGAACCAAAAGATGATGATGACGTATTTGCTCCATGATATCTTTTGTTATTAACTATGATCTGTTACAAAAGAAACGGCTTAAAATATATCAATTTTCTATTCGATATATACATATATGCATGTGAGGACTTATTCATATACAAAATAAATTTAACAAATAAAGAAAAACAAAAAAATTGCATAATAAGATTTTAACCAATCCATATTTTTAACAAATTTGTACTCATTGTAAGCGTTTTTAAACAACTAATGACAATAGCATATAATAACTATTTAATTTTTTTTTTCGTTCGTAAAATTACTTTGTCAAACTTTAAAATTCAATCTTTATAAACTAAAAATACTGTAGCCACAATATTATAGGTTGCTCTCTCATGAATATATGTTGTAAAATTATCCATTTTTTCATCTACTAAAAATTTCATTTTATAATCGAGACCTTGATTCTTCTTCTCCACAACTGATAATAAACAAACGATTCTGTACCTAAAATCCAAAGAAATAATGTATATATATATTATTTTATTAAATAGAAATTTTCAATAATAATTGTATATACATACTTTCGATAATTTAATGTTTTCACACGATCACGTATTTCTACAGCTAAACTTTCAGCTAATTGAGCTGATTTCCATGGATCATAAACACGATTAAAACGATCCCATGATAATCTTTCTTCAATAATTTCACCAATTATTTTATGAACATATTCCATTGTAAAATTTGTTCTAAAAAATTCAATTTTAATTTTAGGTTTTTGTTCTTCTTGAATTTCTGATTCTTCAACTGTTGTTGTTTGTTCCTTTTCATTTTGTTTTAAAATTGGTTTTTTCTTCTGTGATTGCATAGATTCATTTAGTAATGCATTCATACGATTTGTAGTTCTCACAGATGTTGTGATTCTAATTAAAAAATTTCAATAAAATTCAATCAAATATAATTGAAATTTATTATTATTGACAAAATATATTATGATAAATAATAAAAATTATAAAAATATATTCAAAATAATTAAATGATAAAATTTTGTAAATTTTTCTAAATAAAAAACTACCAAATACCAATGACCACGCCAATCTTATAACAGTATATAACACTTATATAAATTATAATGTTGAAACTTACCTTGATCTGTATGTACTCCATTTGGCCATTTTATCTTTTTGCGAATTCAGGTTTAAAAATTTTTTTTTTTGGTATAGTTTAAAATTCAAAATATAATACAAGGTATCGTATAATGTATACTCTCTTGACGAAAACGAAAAAAAAACTGAATTTTTTATTTTTAAAGAAATATTAAAGTTAAAAAATACGATGCAACAAGGACATGCATTCGCATGCAACTAATAATTGGAAAGGCATTTAAATTTCTTCTTACCGTGTCTTTAATTTATTTTCTATATTTTTTATATATTTTAACAAAATTTCCATATTGATTTCTAAGGTATTTGCAAAATTTGCTTTAAATTTTTTTTTTTTTGCAATTTTTGTTCTTTTTTCTTGTGTTTTTCAATTTTCTTTTAAATAAATTATTACATACGAATATATCGCATATACGAACATATTATTATAATGTATTTTGAATAACAAAATTTTGCATTTCATTAAATTTTATATTATTAGGTTCTTTAAGAATAAGATTTCATTGCGATATCAACTGTGTACATATTATACAAATGACTACCTTTTAACTCCCTTCTTATTTGTAATTCAAAATAGAATGTCTTAAAAGAAAATTATTATATCAAGAAAATCCTTAATACGTAGGTACATAAGAAATGGTTTTTATTTTTTTTTTCTAAATATAAAATTTGTATTTAGGTATATAGTACATCCGCAATTAGTTTGTTTCAACTATCATAAATTTCATAATAAATATATATACTTAGTACATTTTTCATTATTTTTATATGTACATTAAAATAATAAACATACCTAGTATAATAATATGCCCTCCTTGGCTTAAATAATAATTATTTGATACGTGAACACTTTTTTTAAAAAAAAAGGGACATAAAAGGATACCAAGTTATTGTATACTCCACAAAAAAATATTTATTGTGTATTGTCATTACAATATAGTAAGTGATTGTAGTTTAAGAAATTTTTAGTTCAAAAAAGCAAAAGAAGAATATTTATATAATAAAGGGCTTAAGAGAATTTTATTCGGGTCAAGGTCATATAATATATTCCTTTTTGCTTTTTATACAAAATGAAAAAATTTAAATTATTTTACTTTAATCCTGAAAATCTATTATGTTGCTACATGTATAATTTTATACTTTGTTTTTGACAAAAAACGGAAGTAATTATTAAAGTATATACCGCATGAAATTTTCATAAAGGCTTAAATTAATCTCTTATACTTTGTTATTAAATGTAATACAATTAATTATATTACAGAACGAAAATATCAACAACACGAGTGAAAGTGATAAGGAAGAAATCCTTGAAAATATGTAAAATAATGCAAACCATTAAAAAAAACGATTATTATATATAAACCAAGTGCACGTAACTACAGATTTTTGTTACTATACACATATATATATAGTTACGGGAAATTAATTAAAAGAAATTTTTGTTAGTCTTAGTATAATTAAGTATGATGATTTTTGATTATATTGATTTCCTGAAGTGACGAATATAAACTTCGGTTTGTGTTGCAAGATTGAATTTTATGTGGCACGTTTCATTATAAATTGGAGAAATATTTATGATTTTAATTTCTCCAACTATAGACACAATAGATACTATGTTTTAAAATCAAATATCGTTAATATTTTCAAGAATGAAAAGTCAAAATATTAAAATCATGCAATTCAATGCTAAAAAATAATTGAAATAATTATTAATATATTTTTTTGTGGAAATTTAATATGTCATTATTAAATTTATTTTAGGATTTTATTCTAATCTACATCTATTTTTGATTATTTTGAATTAATTGAAGGACCTATTAGTTATTTTATTAAAGTATTTCCTGGATTCTATACCGAAATTCAATTTGAAGTGATTAAAATCAGAAAATATCTGAAATTGAAAATCTGTCACTAATCCTAATACCTAATAGTACAGTTGGTTATTTAAAAGCTATGTACAATAAATAATAAACAAAAATAAAATAAATATTCATACGTGCTATGACATTTAGGGCACACTAACTTGTCTACTTTTAATAAACATGTAGGTTCTACTTTACTCCACAATTATAACAAAAATACAAACGCACACAAATATTTTAATTCAATTAATTGTTGCATTAAACGTAACCGCAGATCTTATTCTAAATGTTTGGGATGGTTACCTTTTGATGTAACGGTCAACTTCCATATTCTACTTCTTTATTTTCCTTTAAATGTTTAACAAGATCTTCACTCATAAAATTTTCATTTCTTATATTTCATTTTAATTTGAATCATCAATTCATTCTTAAAAAAAAACATATGTACATCAATTTTTTGTATATTATAAAAATAATAATTAAAATCAAAAGTTTTAAATAATAAATAAAAAAACTTTATTTTTGGTCATTTCGGCTTGTAGAACTTCATTTTTTGTGACTAGAACAATTTGCATTCACCCAATTTTTCACGTATTCAACTTTCCTTTAACCTTTTAATAGCGTTGTGGGTCCAGTGGACCCACTTATAAGTTTCTCTCTCTCTTTTTTCTGGTTTAATATTGCTCAATTCTTCTAAAATTTTCAGTACCTTCATTCATTCGTTTTATAAATGTGTAGTGAAAAACACGTGTGTGTCGGATACCTGAAAAGTAGTGTTTTTGAATCTACATGGGTCCAGGGGACCCACAACATTATTAACGTAACAAAAATATATTTTCTTTTTTTTTTATTTTTCGATTTGAAATCAAAATGAATACAAGTAAGGCTGGACCAACTGCAATAAATGCTTGTGCTGATAATGTGGAAGGCATTATTAATCAATCTCGCCTTACTTGCGAGAAAGAATGTATAATCAGAGAATACCTTTGCAACTTCGCGTGAATATATCAACTATTTTGAAAGAGCCTTTAACTTCTGATAACGCCAATGAAGACAAATTAGAGAGAAACAAAAGAAAAAGATGTAACTTTTGCATTCCCGGAAAGAGAGTTAAGACAGTCCATTTATGTTTCAAGTGTAAACTACCAATATGTTTAACTTGTTCAAAAACAATGTGCAAAAACTGCTGTGATGAATGAAAAATTTCAAAAATTTTAAGACTTAAAATGCGACATCGCAAAAAATTTGTGACTGATTTTTTTTTTCGATAAATATAAAAATAATATAGTTTAAGATATATATTTTGAGAATTTAATTTAAGTTTTTGAATTTTTTTTTGTTTTATTTTTTTTATATATATATTTTTTTTTTGAGTTTTTCAAGTTGAAAATTTGAAGCAATAATTTTGATTAGTTTTTAAGAGATGAACGATTCCTCATTTTTTGTCCAATATTGAATTATTTTATGTTAAAAAAATTAGACAAATGAAATATGACTTAAAAATTAAAAAAAAAAATTTTTATTGTTGATTTTAAGTACAACGAAAATTGTGGGTCCAGTGGACCCACAACGCTATTGCCGTAACAACATTTCACGACGCTATTTAAGGGTTAAAATTCGTTTGCGATATTGAATAGATTTTGTTTTTATAATTTTATGAAAATTAAAAAAAATCGGTATGAAATATTAAAATATAAAACTAACTACATGTCGTCATGGATGGTTTTACAACACTCAAAATTTATTCTCGATTACATTCTATTATTTTCACTTTTATGAAATTTTATAATATTCTTATATTATAAGCTGTAAATAAAGAAAATAAAATTCCAATTTTGGAACTATATAAAACCTAGAAAGTTTGTTTTATTCACCTACAGTTCATTAAATTTTTTATGTACTTCTGATTTTACAGAAATTAATTTAGATTTTAGACTTACACTCTAATTTTGTGATGTTTACTTTTGGCTGCAGCCTTTTTAAATTTCATTGCCATCATCTTGAAATATTTTCTTGTAAATAATTCCAAAAATTATATATAGGTAAATTTTATCTTAAAAATTAATAATATTTTCTATAAAATTAATTAATATTTTTTTTCAGAAATCTGAACACTTTGAAAGTTTCTTGACAAATAAAAAATTTTTTCATGGTCTATATCTGTTATTGCCAAAATAACTGTAAATTTTTAACTATGTGTTTACAATACATAAAAAAATTTCCTATCTTTACACCAAAGTAAAGCAAAAAAAAACAAATCACAAACAAAAATAAACTAAAAACGGATTTTGGGAAGTTTTCCATTAATATTAAAAAAAAAAATTCAACACTTTTATTACAAAACATTGAACGAGAGACTTTTCTTTTGAATAGCTAAACGCTTCAAGTATAAATTATGTATATACTTATATTATCAGTATGTGAAAGCAATAGAAAAATATGATGAGTGTTATAAAAAGAAACAAAAAAAAAGAATAAAGGAGGTTGAGTTCTATATGTCTTCATAACACGCAAGATTTTCTTTTTGAACTTGTTAATCTATCATCAATTCACAAACACGTATTAAATAATAATGAATTTTTGCATGATTGTGTTAAAATCGAAGTGATTCGAAATTTCATTTAATAAAATCTTACCTCGACGAACCTTCAAATGAATCTGCGCAATTTTTTTTATGACACTTTCTAACAACGAAGCACTCACTAGAAAAGTTCCACTCAGATGGTTTCTTCTATGGATTAATTCCTTGGAAATATAAGAATGAATTTTTGATTGACCATGTGAGTCCTGAACTTGTTATTTGTTAAATAGTAAACAACCAAGTAAAGAAAAATTTAAACGTTTTATAAGCAAATAGTGTATTGGTTTTTTATATTAAATTAAAAGTAACACTCGTTATTATCGATAATTAAAAGGTCGATTTTGTTAAAGTGACGATTAAGAGTTTTTATAATGTGTCATGCATTCTTACCCGTTTTAATTAAAAGTCTCAGTTTTAGTGTCAAATTATTTGACTTTTAATAAGTATATTACAATTTACATTAGAAAATTTTCACAAAAGTTTTGTTAATTATTTCGATGTAGCGGTCTTTTTGTAATATAAGATTTTGCAATATGGAACTGCACCGTTAACCCTGTTAGAATTTAACTATTATGAATTCCTTAAAGTTTGTATAAGTTGTACGAACTTCTTAAATAGTCAGTTATCATTTTTTTTGGGAAGGAAGCAATAAACTTTTTATTACAAAACCCAACTTACATTTGTTATTTTATTTTTTATTATTATTTGGTTATAAATATATATAAAATAATCTAATTATAGATTCATAGAGGTAAAAAAGCTGTCTTTGAAGGTAGACGAAAATATCAATAATAATGTCCCGTAAACTTGACACGCTTTGATAATAGAATGTTGTGATTTACTTTTTATTTCTTATTTTATTTCTAAATTTTTGTTTATAAGGGTGGATTGATACTTATTTTGTTTTTGTTTTTTGGTTAAAAGATGCAATGTAAATGTAAAGAAAGAATAAAATATTTAAGTAAAAATTTTTGACTTATACACAAAGAAAATTGAATTTTTCTTTGTTGATACTTTTTGAAATAATGACGATATTAAGAATGTTAGCAGAGTATATTAATAACCGTTACAATATATGTAACAAATAACAATGAGTATGTTGGGAATGTTACTGTCGATAAAATGAATAAATCCTGATCGCGGAAGAGGATCACGAAAATAAGTATTTTATCTAGATTATAACCTTTTAAATCAAACATTCCATTTAAGTGGCTCTCATTCAAGTGAATCCTTACAAAAGTTAGATATTATAAAATAATTATTTGCGTCGTTTTTTTGCTATTAATTTGCATATATTATGCTGTGCAGTTTTAATATACGAAAATAAAATCTTTTATGAATTTAATATAAAATTTATATTTATTAATCACCATTATTTACCTTATTTAAATTCAATCTAAAAAACAAATTTTTTTCATTTACTACATTATTTTTACTAAATCAATTCAAAACACTTTAATAGCCAATTGCTTTTTAAATTTTTTTAATTAAATTTAATTACTGAGTATTTTTCTTGCAGTTAATAGAATTTCACTAATTATTTTTTACTAATACATACAATAAAAATTTCTTATTGATAAAATTTCAAAACTTGTTTAACTATAGATATCGGAAGATAGTTAGATATTAAATTACTCAATTATTTAAGGCTTATACAATACAAAAAATTTAATTTCGATATTTATTTAATTTAGTATGAATACGATGCTAAAACAAATACGATGTTATACACATGAAGCTTTTGCTAGCAATAGTTTAATTAGTGCAATATTTTTTCTTCATTACTTTGTAATGTTGTATTAAACTTTAAGTTGCTACTAAAGCAATAACAAAATAAGAAAATCTATATGCAAAGTGGAAAATTCGGAATCAAATGGAGTAAAATTTTCTTTTTTGCATTTTTAATAATAAAATTTTATTTATAAATTTCGTTGCATTAGTTTAATATATAACTAAGTTATACAGTCTATATAAAATATAGAATAGTATTAAACATCACTAATTGTAAAACATTATAAATTAATTAACTTTACAAATTAGTTTTTTTAAACTCAATGTCTTATGAATTTATCAAAGTTTACTAGTGCCATAGTACTACTATTTATTGTTTTATATTTTATACCTTTTATCCATGACAATTGAATAAATTTATTTTAATAAACATAATTAGAAGCACATGTGAGAAAATACTTAAATAGATTATATTTTAATTAATATACATATTTTACAAATTTTGATAAAACCTTTTGTACAGATTTGTTTAATGTTTTGTACAATTTCAATTTATTTAGAAAATTTCCTATTAATTCTGCTTAAGAAGACGTTTTATGAAATTTAATTTCACGATTTTGAATTCCATAGAATATAGTATGGCAAGTTTGAGGTATATTAAAATTTTTATTACAAATTTGACAATTTATTGATATTTATTTCATATAATATTAGAACTATGCTAATTTAAAACTTAAATACCATAAAAATCACCTTTTGGTGCTTTGAGTTTTGTTCTTTACAGTATTTTCACACGTATTCACACACTTCGTTTAACAGCTTCATTTTATATAATTTTCTCAAATTCTGGAAAAGTTTTTTGTGTTTTTAAAATCTAATTACAAATTGCAAGTATGGATGTTTGTTATTAATTTCTTCCTTATTAATGATTTCAAAAATGAATAAATAATTTTTGTTAAGTTGATAGAGTTTTCTTGAAACTAAAACTGTTAGAATTTATTGAAATTATATTATTTTTATTTAAGACATAAAATTTTGGGCTTTAAAAATTATGAGTGATAATTGAATTATCAAATTTAATATAATTAAAAAATTTAATACATATAATATTTTTTTTCCAATACCATTAAAACTACGTTAATTTTTAAATTGTAACGCTTTAAAATATTTTAAAAAATATTTTATTTTACGTGTTTTCTTAAAATATTTTTTAGTTTTAAAATTACATAATTGAGAAATTTTTGAATATTTTTAAAAGCGTAGAAGCCTTTTCTAATTTAATTTTTAAATTTTAAGTAATATAAGAATTTGGGAAATGTGTCAGAATAGTTTGGTACAAAATTTTTAATTTTGTATAATATTATAATTATTTTTATTTATTAATACCAAATGGTATTTTATTGCAATTCTACTACATGATGTAGGAAATTACAACTAATAAAATTAATTCTAATTTATATTTGATTTTGCAAAATTTAAAAAATGCTCTTTGATACATATTGTTTTTCAAAATGAACAATAAATTAAAACTTAAATAAATATAACATACTAAATTCAAATCAAAGACATAAACATTAATTTAATGTTGTCTTCCAAAAGAAAAATTAACATAAAGTAAAGTTGAATAAATAATCGGTTTTTAGTTTAATCCTTATTTAACATTTTGTTATATTTTTTAAATTAATCTAAATCAAAAATGTGTATTCTTTCTATTGATTTTAAAAAATCAAATAATAAAAATAACAAAAATATACAATATTTTAAAAACAAAATAACTAAAAACTTGTTTAGCTGCTTCAATAACAAACTGCTTTTTTTCGAATTTTTCATGTTTTGGACTTAAAATTATTTTTTAAGCGTAATGTGTCCATTAAATGATGTTTGTCAACATTTTAGAAATGATTGATGTAACTCTACTGTTTCACTTTGTAGTTTCTGAAAAGTAAAATAAAATTATTAAATAAATAAAATCAACTTTACATTATCGAAATGTTCTTGAAAAAAATACCAAAATAATTATAATTAATGTTGGAAAAATGCTAAAAAATGAATCAAAACAAAGAAATAACTTGAATTTTTGCATTAAAATTACCAAACGGTACAAGGATGAGGTATTAAATTTTAAGAAATGCAATACATGAAACATGAAAGATTTTTTCATGAAATTTCTGTATTTTACTTACATATAAACTATCTTGAATTTTATCTGTTATTAGTTTCCTTGCTTCTGGTTCTTTAACTCCACGTTCTTTTAAATCTTTTATAAAATCATTTAAATCTATTGGTTCACCAAAGTTAATTGTAACTTTTTTGCCCCATCTTAAGTAATACGGTGGTTCGTTTTCTAAAATAGTTTCCATTCCTTCATGCCAAATTGGAAGTATTATTGGAACAATAGGTGATTCATAAATTATACGACCGACACCCCATTTAAAACGCATATACTCCTTTGTCATATTCACTTTTCCTTCAGGAAATACATGTACCCATTCACCTTGAGATACTTTTTGTATACATAAATCTACAGCTGGCTGATAGACTCCAGCACCACGAACACAAGGTATACATTTTCCCCACATAAAAAATCTTGAATGCAGTTCACATGTAAAACAAATATCATGTGCAGCTAAAGCCCATCGTATAGATTTTCTATTCAATACGTCTCGTATCGTGAACGAACCTAAAATTATAAATATTTTTATAATAATCTGAACTTTTTTTTTATATATGTAAGTATATTTTAAAATCAGTTTTGTTACCCCAAATTCCTGGATCATCAAAACATGAATGATGATTGGAGACTGTAACTAGAGGAATACCTTTTGGTCTATGGATGGCGCTTATTAGTCGATGTTTATTGTGAACTTGTGCCTTGTTCATTAATACTGAAAATATAAAAACGAAAAAAATTTTAAGAGACTTTGCAAAATAAAAAAAACAAAACAATATTATTTTCAATAAAAATAGTTAAGCAAAATGTTTTAAAAAAAATAGATTAAAGATCAATGAACTTACTTTCATACTTTACATTTATATAGAATATGTATGTATAAGAAATCGAGACTAGAAAAAAATTTGAATTCTCAAATTTTTAAAGCACAAAAGTTTTTTTAAAAATGGGATAAGTTTTCTTGGTATCAGTTAAAATTTTATCATCGTCCTACAACAATTACATTAAAAAGTATTTTACTTTTTTTTAGGACATTAATATGTTAAAATGCTTTTTTGTATGAAACAATTTGAGATAGACATTGGGAAGGTACATAACAATTTGTCACAAATTTTAACAATTTAAGAAAAATTTCATTGATAACAATAATCATCATGTTTTCTAATTTAATAAGTTTCATAACTTAAAATTCAGTTCAATAAGAATCACAAGTTTTAGAAAACAAGTAAATTCGAAATTATTTATAAACCCGATTTATAAAATTAGATTTAATTAAACAAAGAATAATATAAAGTTTAAATGTATTTTGCATTTTATCTCAAATAGTTTCCTTTATGAAACTTTGTTGTGTTGATCAAGTACAATCTTAGTGCACAAAATAATTTCCTATTAAAGCATGCCATTGAAATTATCATTTCATTCGATTATTATGTACATTTATAATGAATTATTAAGCATTTAATTAACTTTTAAAAAGTGTATAAGAAAGCTGAAAAATCTAATATTGGCAATAATATCAAAAGTAAAAGCTCTTTTGTTCGCTTTGTTTTTAAAATTATTATGTCATGAAAAACATTAACTATATCACTACTCTCAATCAAAGCTATTTTTTGCTAACATTATTTTATGGGAGACGTAGAAATACATGCTTCACATAAATTTAGAAAAACTACTTGAAACAGCTTTTTATAATATTAAATTTTTGAAGTTTTTCTTTTTATATTTGCAAATTTCAATTTCACTATATTTTTATCTAATAGGACAACAAAACTTTAAAATACATGTGACTGTAATACGTTTGCATGCTTAAATAAACATAGTGAATAATATATTTTTGTATAATAGTTATATTATACTTCATCAAGTTTTATTTCCGTTTAGCTTATTTTTGACATTGAATGAACGAATCTCATAATCATATGTAATTAATTATATCAAATTAAATTACTAAGTACAATAACATTATTTATAATTTTGATAAAGTATAAAATATTAAATCTCTATTTTATAATTAAATATTAAATCAGGTTATTTTGTGAATTTGCTACTGGGTTATTTTACGCTTTTACTATTTACTTATACTTTAAAATATTTGATTGCTTATGCATAAAAGAATCTACGATAAGAGCTATTTTTAAACATTTCAAACTAAGAACATTTTTTGGTAAAAATTTTTATAGATTCATTAATTTATCTTAATTGATGTAAAAAACATTAAACTGAAATTATATTTAACCAATTATCAATTATCAAACTCTGATTGTTTTTTCTTGTGTAGAATAACCTTTGCTTAAGTACAAACATTAAAATAAATTAGTGTAAAAAAACAAAAAAAAAATATTTTAAGGTACGAGTATATTGTAATTATCAAGAGATATCATCGCAACTAAATATGTTTACGTAAGTTTATAAAACCGTGTAATTATTTTAAATTGAATAAATTTTATAAAAATCAATTTTATCTAAACACTTTTATTGAAAAAAAAAAACAAATAATAAGCAATTTATTTTGATAATCAAATTATTCTACAATTACACATGAAATATTTACCCTGAAAATATGATAATTAATTAAATCAAAATTAAAAATTTTGTTGTTTTAAACGACGATTATTGTTATTTTAATTAAAATGGATAATCGTATGGAAAATTTATCGTTTACATTTTTAATTTGTTATATGGTGTACTTGAATTTTTTGAGTATTTGCCCTAATAAAGTTCGAATAAATTTTACAAATAAAGAAATTTTAGAACAAAAATTTTTATTTGGAAGAAAAAAAAATAATTTGATTGCGCCAATTAAATAATTAATTTAATCATGTAAACCAGTTTAGAAATTGAAGAACATGACTATAAAAGTTACAGTGTAGCGAAAAAAAACACTGTAATTTAAAAATAAATACGAGTAAAATGTCCTTTTTAAAAAAAAAATATTACACACATATTAGGCAACAAAAAAAAAATAAGTTTTAAATTACATTAAATACGAAGGTATTATTTTCTGTAAATTTATCTTATCTACATATAGGTATACGTATGTAAGTAGTTCCCAACGAAAATTGATTCAAGTTCAAATCATTGACCTCACTGTTCTAAATAAAAAAAAACTAAACTAAAAGCAATTCAACAAATTATATTAAAATACCTACACTATCAAATAACTTCATATAAAATTATATACTTAATTAAATAATACGTTAATTAAATAATTTTTCTGCTAATTTTATTTTATAAATATCTCAGCAACGACAAAAAAAAAAAACTTGAATTTTCGATTATATTCAATTAAATATACATATATGTAGCATTATAAAATACAATATTCTATATTTAAAAGTGAATACGTAATAAATTTCAATATAAAAAAAAAAAACTTTATTTTTCATATAAATTATGAGTTTAAATTCCCCTTTCTTTATTTATCAAAAAATTATAATAATAATTTTTATTAATAAAATATTTTAAGTAAAATATAAAATATTTGTTTTGACTGAATTCTAATTTAAGCGCCTATAACTACATACAATGTAATAATAACGTATCTTATGTAAATAAATAAATTGTTACACATGCAGTGATATAACTGTACATCATTTATTATGGCGGCATACATAATGGCATACATGTGTACACAAAGATACCGCTATATTCAATTTATTTTAAAATTTTAGTCAATTTTAATATTATTTTTCCGCTTTAAATTATATAGGTACATAATATTTATGTACGATGTAATTTAGTTGAAAAATAAAAATTTTAAACAGAGATAACCAATAAGTGACAACTTTTTCATTTATTAAATAAATTATTATATAAAGTCTAATAATTTAAATAAATACATAATACATGCATGTATATACATATATTCATGAACAATTCCATACGTATTATATTATAATAAGCATAACAACGTATGCAATACGTTATATATTAATTTTACGCACAAATACAAAACAGGAAAAACATCAGAAAATGAATAACATACATACATGTGTAGCTAATTTTAAAAAAATACCATTATGACGTGGGTATAAATTAATAAATATCTGCAAATACAAGTATTTACATTCAATGCTACAGCAAATATATTAGATACATGTATTAGAATTTGAATGAAGTATTAACCTAATATTAAAATTACAAAGAATAAGATGGGTGCATTCGAACTGAATTCCGGAAGAAGTTATTAAATTATTACAAATATAGTTATATGTACTCTTGTTTTCACAAATTTTACTTTTTCAATTAAAAATTCTCTAAATTTTAGAGAGAACCATAAAGTTTTTAAATATTTACTATTTCATTACTAATACATCATATTTATTATTTTAAATAATTATTTTTTTGTTTAAATTTACCTATAATGAAAGATCAGTTCATTCATGGAACATAATAGTTGCACAACAAATAATATGTATATATAATACAAAACATAAATTACTTGCATTTTTATTTTTAAATATTGTATTTACTATAAAGGTTATCTTTATCGCAAATATGTAACTATGTATGTAGTTATGTATTTGCATAGTGATTTGAAACATTAAAAAAGAAAATTGTGTTTCGTATTCACGAAAAAAATTCTTATAAAGGTAAACATTGCATATAAAATAAATTATATTCTCGATTAGTAAAACCAAATTTTAGAATTATTATTTTAAAGCGGATTGCGGCAAATTTAATACTCTAAATTCTGCATACTTATTGCTATATTCCTAAATATATTGATAAAAATGTACATAGTTGAATAATGTTAGAATAATATTCAATATTTATAAAAAAACTCACTTATACGTTATTTATTTAATAAAAAAGCTAATGATATAGGTTATAAAATAATTGATTTTCATTCGTGATTCCATGTCACATATCTATATGATTTAGTCAGTATACATTCAACGGAAAAAATAAAAAAAAATAATGCGGTTTATAACTCGTATTTATATATAAAAAAAATGTTCCCTGGATTAAATATTTTTCTAAACATCTTCTATCACTACTAAATTTGTTAATATTTTTGTTTATTTTAAATAAATTATTATAAAATGACGTACTTATTGTTATTTTTGTGTACGTATACAATACGATTGGTAAAGCAAAGAAAATGATGCCAATAATGTTTTATTGAAACTTCAATGAATTATTTTGGATAAATTTCTTTTAAAAGAAAAAATTAAATTAACAAAAAGAAAAAATAGAAAATTTATAAAACTTTCATAATCGTATTAAAATACAGTAAACATTATACTTAAGATTACGTGAATCAACTTAGAGATGATTTTTTGAAATAAATATCAAAAATATTATCATTCATATTAATTTACATATTATTTAAATGCATATTATGAACACCTATTTATTAAGAAAATTCAACTAGTAAATTTTTTTTGAACAAAATTAAAAATTGACTAATTTCGAATGTACTGATGGATAGTCAAGTTTTGAGATTAAGTTAAATTACTGAATTACTGAATAATTTAAATGATTATTTAAGTATATAAGAGATTTTTTTAATTTCAAAGGTATGAAACACAATAAATTCTATGTTGGCGTAAAAATTGGGGATTGTTCTAATTGCAAATATTTTTATAAAAATACTTATAAATTTCACAAAACTTCTAGTGAAAATGAAAATGGAATTTACGTTAATATCCTACAAAATAGAAAAAGTTTACGAATTAAAAATGTTTAAAATATCAATATCACGATTGTTTAGTACTTGTATAGTCTTGTAGACCCATATTTTTATAATTTTTTATAAACCGATAACGATATAGCACAATATAAATTAAATAATATTGATAAAGGCAGGAAAATTACGATATTTCATTTTTACAAGATCAATAAAATTAAAAAAAAAAAAAACAATTTTTTTGAAACTGATAAGGGAATATCTACTTAAATAAATAGCGTAGTTTACTAGACTATCCCAATATTAATAATTTTCACTTCACTATCGAATAAACACATAATGTGGATGATACAGGCAAAAAACGAATTATACATTTATTTAAAAAATTTCATGAATTTCAGTGAGAAAAACTAAATTATATACCTATGTATGTTTATAAAATATTTTACAAGCTTATGACCTTATATTTTGTAGCAAGTGAATAAAATTTTTTTAACATTAATTAAATTTTGTTAGCAAAGCAAATGACTTAGGTAACCTTTCAAAATTTGATGCTTTCTTCATATTAACTTTGCTTAAGTAACTAAGTATTTATATGTACGTATATAATTTAACCTTCTTTATTTTCACAATAAAAACCATGTGCAAAATTATACAAAGCTTTACTTAATTTCTTTTTATGAAATGCTTATTAGTTTGGTATAACCTGTTCCTACGGTTATTTTATGTCTAAAACATCAGCAAAAAATAATTACAGTAGGTTAAAAACTAATATAATAAAAACAATAAAGGTAGTAGTCTATTTGTTAGGAGCAATAAACATTATATGCATGCATTACGAGCTTATATTAGCATAAATTCAAGTTATTAACTATTTCGTAATTTCATTTAAGTTTATAAAAAAAATTTTACTGAATTATTATTTTTAAAAATGTTGATATTGAAAGTTAGTTTCAAAATTTAAAATATTGTAGTGCAAATTTATATGAATATGATTTATAAGAATGCTAATTTACTTTTACAAAATATCACCAATTAATGATATTGTAGTTATATGAACCTACTTAAGCATTTTACGGATTCATTAAAAATGTAAATGAATTTTATCTAAACAATGTATAAATTTTTATCAATTGGGTATTTAATAAACTTTTCAGAAGTCCTCATAATTCGTTAAATGCCATCTTCTTGAAAATATTTTAAAATATAATTGCATATTTATTAAAAGAAGTTAAAATTGTATCCAAATATTTACATGAAGGCTACAATACTCATTAATATTAACACGCGATTAATTGAATTAACAATGCTAATGATTAATCGGAAGCTACTTATATTCATTTAGAAACTTGGAGGTTATGAAATGTTTGCGCATTTTGGGCTTTTATATTAGTGCTTTTTTGTATGAAACCGTTGTTATAAGTAGAAATATGGACAGGTTCTTACATAAATTAAATCAAGTTCATAGCTATTGTTGAAATTATTAATAAAAATTCGTGTTCATAATATTGACCTAAAAATATTAAGATAAATTTCTTTCTAAATTTTTCTTTTATTCTTAATGAAACTTACCTATGACTAATTTGCTAAATAATCCAACTGCAGTTATTGTTATGGCGCTAGCTATACACCATAGTCTGGAAGGGTTTGCCATTAAAGGAAATACCCATTCAAAATTATAAGTCATTTCGGTTTGATTGGAAGGCTAAATTGTGCGTAGAGTAAAAAATTATTAAAATATTTGACTTAAATTCTATATTTCAGCAAAATTATTTTTACGTTTTTTTTCTAAAAATATCTACGTTAATTTTTTTAATAGTAGTTTCACTTATGCATGATTTTTTCTTTTTTTGCTTTTCTTTTGTGCGTAGCCAATTTATTTTTCTTTTAAAAATGAATAATAGCTTAAATTTATTTCATCCGAACACTAATTTGCGCACCCGTTATTTATTTTTAAATAATTTGCAAAATAAAACTGAGAGCAACTATGAAAAATACTTGTGATTATATTGATTGCTTTTACTAAGCTCACTTAAAAGTTAAAATTCAGCTTTTGGATAAAAAAGATGAGAAGAGAAATTAAATAAACAATTTTTGTTTAGCATTTTGACATTTGTTGTCTTGTCATTTTATTTTTAACAGAGAGGGTGAGGCATTCATACAAATGTCAAGTATTTTACAGAAACAAAATAAATTTTATGTCAAATAAGGCGTCATCTTTAGCGTCGTTGATTTAATTATTGCCAGATTTCTAAAATTTTATTTACATTTTCATTTGGTTTTTGAAGTTGGATATGGATATTTGCTTCTAGGTTTGGGAGCAAGTGTTTTTGCACTCTTCGAAAAGTGAATGTTGAAATTAAAAAAAAATTAATTAAAATTAATTTTTAAAAATATTTTTGGTTTCGTTTAATATTACTAAAAGAAGATTGATGAAAAAAAGTTTGCATTACGGACAATTCTTTTTAATGGTAAATGGATTTATGCTTTCAATTGTTTCGAAAATTAACTTGTATGTACAATTACACAGTACAAATATAAAAGTTTTGTATGTACCTAACAGTTATGGGTTATATTTTAATTTCGCCAACTTAAAATTATGTGCATTTTAGTATTATTTCTCAAAATACTTTAGTATTATATTTTAAATTTTTAAAAAATCAAAAATAATTTACTTCTAGCATTTGTTAATTTTTTTTTCAATAATCGTTTCGAAATAAGAAAAAATACACTTTTTAACAGAAAACTAAGAAAATTCAAATTATTCTATTGGAACCTAAAAATGTTAGCATCATTCCTTTCATGTTTAATTACATTTCAATGTACAGCATATGTAAGTACATTAATATGTAAAGTTAATAATTCGAATTATTTTCGAAGCTGTTTTCTTTACCAAATAAACGTATTATGAGTCTTCCGTTAATTATTTATTAACAAATTAATTAGTGTTCTAATATTTTATTAACTAACTTAGTAAGAAAGATAAAAGTAAACATTTTGAAAGTGTTTCCAAATTAAGATTACTTGTCCACTTTTATATTTCCTTTAATTATTTATGTTTTTAGGATTTAAAATTGATATTTTGAATCGTAGGAGTTTTCTGTGTTACAGTTTTCCCTGCATGAATTTATTACATCATCAATTATGCTTTCTAAACTTATGATGTTTAGTATAAATTTGATGTCGTATAAACATGTTTTTTAGAGAAATACATACACACTTGCATACGTAAGTAAATATACATAGGAGGTATGTATGTATGTTTTTATATATATTCTTGCTTAAAATATATGTATATACTTATTTCGAAATTCACATTCTTTACTTCAGAAATAGTATGTATATATATTATCGTGAAGTTCTAAAAATCCATTAATTTTGTACGTACAAATTAAAATATTGAAAGTAAGTAATCATTCTCAGGAATAAAAAGCAATTTTTAATATGAACGATAAAAGAATGTGGTTAATTGTTGTAGTGTTTTTAATAAAGCCTGATGTTTATTCTATATATGTACATACATACATAGGTTGGTAATGCATTGTTATGTAAAACTTCCACAAATTAATATATCTTTAAATAATACGGAAGTGACCTTAAAAACATACATAAGTGCCTACATTTACGATATATACATAGATGTACAAATAACTATGTACATAATCACATTTAATAGCAAAATCAATTAAATTTTTTACCTTTCCATTGCCGTTATTTTTAACACCGTTAACAAAATTCCCATTCTGAATACTTGATATTGATTTTGAGGTAGTAGTTCTAATAATTTGATAAATTTCTTTCGATAAAATACATTTAACACCTCTTGTCAGCAACATATTTAATTTGCAATTATTTGAACTTTATTCTTATATAAAAAAAAAACTATTTATTCTTACTACATCATATTTTAACAAACTTAATAATTGAATAAATTTTATTAGTAACTATTTACAATTTTCTTTTCATTTATGTATCACTAGAAAAGGTTTATTTTTGACTAGGCAAAAAAAAAAAAAACAATAAACTGCACATTATTTTGACATTTGGTCTGTACACAAATATGACACTTCCTTTTTAATTTGACATTTTTGAGTATTGTGAATACTAACGCTTTTATAAAATGGTTCTTGTCTTAACTTACGAGAAATTTCAAATAAAAAATACGATATGATTGGAATATTGTACATAAACCATTTAAGAATACGTTTATTTTAAATTTGTAAAAAAGTAAGTAGACAGACCTTTATAATGTCGAAGCAGCTGTGTACCATATGTAATTATTAATAAAAGTTATTGTTTAAAATTTGAAAGAGAAGTAGTGATTAGATATGTACTTGAAATACACACTTAATGGCTAAAATTTAATGCCCACTTAGGTTTAATATACTAAATTTACGACATACCTTTAAACCTTTTATATAATCTACGACATACCTTTAAACATATTTAAAGAGGTCACAATGATACATAATCTTATAATATTAGGAAAGTTATCTTTTTAAGTCAACTGAATATATTTAATGTAGTTCGTCAGAAAGATTGGCATGTGGTCTCAATTTATAAGCACTCAATTTTTTTAAGCTTCAGTGCATATGTATGATTTATATATTTATGTTATTGTATATGTATATGCCTGTATAATATAGGTTAATTTGTCCTTACTAATATTATTAATTAATGCAATATATCTAAATCTAGATTTAAGAACAACTTCAATGAAGAATTAAATATTTACCAAAACAGGATCTAATTATTCATCTTTCAAAAAGTTACGCTGTTTCGACCAAAAAGTATATGGTAAGCAAATTATTTTATTTTAAGCTCATATTACTTGATTGTAACGCTAATTTAAATGAAGGTATTATGTATGTTTGTGTTTTTTTTTCAATATAAATTATTTTCATAGAAAGACAAATTAAAAAGATAAAGATTTATTGTTGTATTATTGTGTAGAATCCCGAAAAATATCAATATACTTCATGTCGGCAGCCTTTGTTAACACAAAAACATACATATTTATACATAGAATTATATAATAACGTATACATATGCTTTTTTTTTATCTATATAAATTTATATGGATGAATGAAATATCTTTATCTTTTATCTAAACAAATCAGTACACCAATTCTAGTTATTATCATGCTTGATCTATAAAAGCTTAAAATCATTTAAGCAATGCGGCTTTGTTAATGTTATCAATCATTATTTTTTTTACTTAAAAAAATATTTTTTTAAAATTTTTTTTTTTTTTTTTTGGCTAACACATACAATGTGTATGTTGGTTTGTATATAATATTAAAAATTTGAGAAACCTGTTTATAATGACCGTTATTAATATGTCGGATATATTTAAGTAAAATCATAAAGCGATTTTAGTTATGATATTGGTGAGTTTATCTGCCAATTAATCTTAATTTAAAATTTATGAAAATTTATTAACCCGAGCAATATAAATTTGTATATGTATATATGTTTGAATACATATGTTTGAAAACGTTCATATGCATATTTACAAAAAAATTAATTTTAAAATTAAAAATATAAAAAAAATTAACATTATTTATATTGCTTATATATTATATTTAATAATTTGAATTACTACATATATACATATGTACATTAATATAAGCGTGTGTATCTACATGATGTGTCATGCTGTACAAATAAACCTAAATATTTTGATATACAGGATGGCAAGGCTTATAACCATTCTGAGTTGGATTTAAAGAATTTTCAGATTATTATGTTCGCGAAAAATATCGCGGTTTTCAAGTAATTTTTTGAATAACTTCTTCTTAAACTTTAAGTGAAAACCTAAACTCAATTCATCACAAAAAATAACTTACGCAAGGATTTCTGGCAAGAAAGATATCTTATGACAAAAGAACTATTACATGTTGTGCTTTATCACGTGAAATTTTTTAGTTGAGTTTGACGACTATAACGAAGCTAAAAGAACGAGTATACCTCTTGAAACAAAAAAAACTATAAATTTTATTTCGAAAATGACATTTTTTTGTCTTTTTAAGTTTCTCTTAAGTTAAGTCAATTAAAATTTCTCACATTTAAGCAAAGATGGGGTCCCAGTGCACCGCGACCCGAAAATACAGATCTACGGGTATTGTGTCCTATTTTATGAGTTGATCTAATTCGTTTTTATTATGGCAAATAATACTTTCTGCCAGCATTGTAATTGTTTGAATTAAAAAGTTTTTATGAAAGTACTAGGTATTTTTCTGCCATGCAAGCGCTATTGCCCATTGCACTATTGTCAATATAATTTTAATTGTATATTTCAAGTACGCGCCATAATTATAATTTGTGCATACATACATACATATGTACGAGTATTTAGAAATTATATAATGTATAAATAATTCTACTTCATTTCAATGCTACATAAATATTAAGTTAAATGTCTAATGAAAGCATTTTTCTATTTCTTCTTCTTATTTGTTGTAATTTACTAGAAAAAACAATTTTGCAATTTTATTTATAAAAATTGTCATAGTAATTTTAATTTATAAGTATTTTCTTGTAAAATATTTTTAATTTAGTAAGCATGTCTGCTCTTTTTTCTTCTACACACATCTTTTGGTATATTGGTTGCAATGTGTATATAAAAAACATTTGAATTAAATTTTATGTCTTGTTATCATCTTTTTTTAATTCAATTTATGTATTTATTTATTTTGTAACTTTTTTTTTTCAATTTAATTAATTCTAATTCCTCACATCATTATGAGATGTTTTCTATATGTTTGCCATTTGGTAGACGAGGCGGTACCATGTTTGGAAATCTAAAATATAAGTAGGTATGCATGTGTGTACATTCATGTGCGTATAATGCATCATTTCGCATGTGCATATGCTTGCATATATGCACGCTTAAGAAACGCATTTTAAATGGTTGTTTCTTTGTTTACATATCTATCGTTCTTTCTTTTTTTTTGCTCTTAATATTATGTTTTTTTTTTAATTTTTCATGTTTAGTTTTTTTCTATCAACTTTTGGTGCGATCGGATCACTGAAGACGTTAACAGAAAACTTTTAAAGATTCGAACTTGACTTAATCCAAATGATGCTTACAACCTGATTTATATCAAGTCTCAATAAGGAAGAAGAGAATTTTTTTTCCTGTTTTCGTTTTTATTTATTTTTAATACTTGTACAGGTAAGATATAAGAAAGTTTTTTTTGTTTTTGTCATCATTAACTATTTGTGTATTTATGTTGTGTTAAAAATGTAATATTAATAGTTCTAAGAAAATAAGTGATAGAAATTTTACAAATATTTTGACATAAATTTAAGGTTTATAATACTTTAAAATTAAAAATGATATTTTGTGATAGATGAAGTAATCATAACCATTCATCAATATTAAATTAAAACTTGAAAGTAATGATTTCTTAGACCCAGAAAGACAAAATTTGAACATGCTCTATATTTTCCTGATGTTCATAAAAAAGTTTTGTGGAGCTTGTTTATAAATAATCAAATAAATTGAAAACTAGAATGAAATTCAGTGACTATTTTATTTCTAAAGGTGTCTTACATTGTGATAATTTTCTTAATAAGTTTGGTTTTTGACAGTTTAGTTCTGGTCATTCATCCGTAATGACCAGAAACTTTTTGTCATTAAGCAAACGGAAATTGAATACAATTGGATTAGAAGTATAGTATCACAGATAACACATTAAATTTTTAAATTCAAAGTTGCAAATGGTAATGAATCGGTTATTACAGATATAAACAAAATATAACAAGTACTAATAAAAACAATAAATTAGCAGGAAATTTACAGGTTTAGAGAATGATATTATAATTGCCTAACGAGCTTATTATCAATTAATTGTTGATAAATGTTAATATTTTCGAAGTATTTATGAACCGTCAATCTGTCCATGGTAAAATGGCAAATGTGAAGCAGTTGTGACATAAAACAAAAATTAAAGAAAAAATTATAAAAATTATTCAGTATTTTTTTGAAAGATTTGAAATTTTCTCAATTTTCGACATTTTTTCGTAAACAAATTTTTCTAATTTTAAATATATTTGGAGCCTTCAATAAAAGTTTAAAAATTGCTTTAGAACTTTAAGAACGACTGCAATTTTCAATATAAAATAAGTATCTTCGAATAGTAAGGTACAAACAATATGTAAAGGAACATTCTTCCTTCATTATTATTCGTAAAACGCGTGTTTAAGAAATCTAAAACAAAAAGATTGAAAAAATGAGAAAAAAAATTACAAATAAATTTTTCTTCCGGCGATGTGAAATGATGAAATTGCGTATGATCATCCATAATGTAACTTACACTTGTCGTGTAGCGTAGCACGAGTTAACTTGATTTTCTACTTTCATATCCCATATGCACATATGTATATATGATAAATTGGTTAAATTTTCTACAAGACGGAGACATAAAGACCTTAGAAGTTAAATTATCTAAATATATAAAATAAGAGGTCGGTTGTTTATAGTTATGTTATCGGTCGGTTTTTTTTTGTTTTTTTATTTCTTTTTTTTTTTATTTTATGATATCTCGTTTTAATTTTTATTCTACGCGAAATCTACCAGATATACAATCCGGCAATTTTTCCAGTTATATGATCGTCATTTTTCTCATCACAGGTGTCTGTGGATTTGTTCTTTTTAAATAAATATATATACAATTTCGTTGTAGATGTATGTATATGTGTGTTCTTTTTTTGTTATGTTTTATTTAACATTTTGATTATTATACTTTTGCTGTTTTCTTCTTCTTTTGGAATATTAAAACGAGAAACAAAATCTTAAAATTATTTGAAATATTAAAGAGACACAAAAATTCATAAATAATTCGAGAGGCAAACGATTTTCATCTTAGAATTTATTTATCTCTATGCCATAATAAAATGAGTAGATATTGGTTAAGTTGATTTTTAACTAACTAATATTTTTCCCCAATTAATGTTTAAGAATAACTATATATTTTAAGTTAGT